CTTCGGTTTACTCTCATTTGTACCCTTTCTTATGTTCTCTTAGTTGGATCCTATGCAGAGCTTTGGCTTCATAACCACAAAGTGATTATCAACGCCTCGAAAAAGAAAGCAAGCGACTGACAAGTCGAGGTCTGGGTCAATGATCCCTCGATGTCTGGATCATATGGCTGAACACTTAGTTCCTAACCAATAACCTTCACTGGTTCACCCTTCTATCAGCGTCTTCTAAATCTCCACACCAGAGCGGGACCAATTTCTGATTGTCTGTTTCCTGACTTTGAGGGATTGGCGCAAGTTAGCAATATTTCTAAACCAGAAACAACAGGCAGGTGTAAGGATGAACGCAAGGATGAGGTCATAAGGAGGTTTTGTAACTAGTGACTGTACTGTTCTGATTTGGTATCTCTGGTGGATAATTTTAGATAAAAAAACAGCATTGGTTTGTATGATTTAAATATGGCCTTTCTGCCTTCAAATACTGCCGTTCTCATCTTTTCCATTGTTGTTGAACACACCAGTCCTCTTGTTCACTACTGTAGATCTACCTGGTTTACATGCTATAGAAAATACAGGATGATCGCATATTATTTTCTACTTATTATTGGAGTATGTTAAATTCAGCTTGGCCCTTAGGCTACTCTGGCTCCTTGTCCTTTGCAATTTGAATCACGAAACAGACTTCTGCCTCTTCTTGTGAGTGAAATCCAGTTTCTTTCTACACACCACCACCTCTCCTTAGGCCTCTGATTCTGACTGGTCCGTAGCCACGCTCCCATTACGTTCCCCCTGCCCTGATTGGCCCTCCTTCTCCTCTGGCCCTTCCCCCGGCAGGCCAGTCAAGGTCCCCAGACGCTTCTTTCCATTGGTCGAAGCGTTGTCAGAGGTTTTTGTTAGGCTGCTCATCAAGATGGGCCCCTCCCATTTCTGCTCATCCAATCGGCTGGAGATGGACCAATAGAGGTGGGCCTCCAGCCGGGCTGCAGCCAATGAGAGTTCCCGGGCAGAGTAGGTGGGCGTGTCTACCTCGAAGGTGTGATGGAAGGCTCCATAGTCCACGTCAAAGAAGCCTTCAGCCAGTGACATCATTGGGCTGAAACGGTGGCCCCACAGGACTTCTTCTGCCAAGTAGGAGCTCCGAGCTTGACATGTCATTCCTGGTGGAGAGATATAAGATCACATTACGACCACAGACAGGGAGAACAAGAACAGAGAGAAAAGAGGGAGAGGAGAGACAAGAGAGGAGCCCAGAAGAATTGGAACTTGAAGCTTGAGCAAGGCGAGAGCCCCTACTTCAGCATCATCCAACAAAATCTGACTGGAGCCAAGTATTTGAAGCTTGCTAGATAGAGCATGCTATTCTGGATTGTTTAGGGATATTGGGTTTCTGGCTAAAAGACAACTCAGTTATAGGGTCCCATTTATTTTGTGGTGTCCAGGGTGCAGAAAGAGAGATTTAACTGCAGGTTGTATCACATTTAATGAGAAGGAATCTTATTTCTTATTTGGCCTCTGTAGGCATTATTTAAGAGTTTAATACTAACTAGAAGTCTGGGGGTTTCTGGGTGATTAGGTTGTTAGGCATCCAAGTAACTTGTGTGTTGTATGTTGTGTGTAGCGTAGATTTGTATTGTCCTTGTTCATAAATATTTGTTTAACCAAGTGTTAAAGAAATCACGTGCTTCTGATTATACCAACGGCTCGGGTATATTCTGAAGAACCCACTTACAATTTGGGGCTTCTGAAAATGTATTTTACTTATTGACTAAACCGCTCAGTCCATTCCTGATTTTCACCATTTTCGTAACCCCCCATTTGTAACATTTTTATAGTCCAACAAAGTACATAGCCTTAGTATCTAGCTTTGGATAAAATTGTCAGCCAAATAAAGGAATATTACTATGCACTAACTAGTATTATAAAATGGATAGTTCCAGTTCTGAAATCTGATTGGCTGACACGCTTTCGAAGCCTTGCTATATTCCCTGATATACGCGCAACCCAGAAGGAAATTTGACTTTTTACTGAGTGATAAAGAAATATCAATGCGCTGACTGATAAATAACTGTCAATCAAATCAATCACATAGGCTTTTAAAGACTACTTCTTAGCGTAGATAAGAAAGCTTGGATTCTCAGGTATTTGATACATGTATCTTCCTCTGCTGTCTTTGGTGTGCTCTTGAGGATCCTTGTGATTTTTTCTTGCTCTTGTTGAATGATAGTGTCACATAGTTTAAATCATTTTCATTCTTAGAAATGATCAAACGCTTGGTTAAAAGCAAGGGAGATTATGTCTTATTATTATAGTGGACAGAAAAACGAGAGTTCGTTACGGCGTTATTGGAAACCCAATTTTAATGACAAAGCGCTGCAGTGATATCCTGGCAGGCACTGAGACCAGAACCAAGAGGAGCACTCCCGCAGCAAAAAGGAAAATGCCTGACGAACAAGGGATTGGACTGTTTTTCAATGCTTGTACAATCAATGGAAATGTTCAAATAAATCTGCTAAAGAAATAAACAAAAAACAAGTAATTTATTCCTTTATCATATTTGCTAGCTAATGTCCTCTCTTTGCTAGTTAAAGTTACTTATGGCTGTGTTTCTGCACTGCACAGCAACGAGGGACTACATTCTCAGGCAGAGGAATGTAAACAGATTCATTTTCGTGTTAAATACATTTTTAAAATTAAAATTCATTCTATACAGTAATTGCATATTTGGGGACCATTTTATAAAAGCAATAAGGCACCCGAGGCCTGTGCTATATCGTGAACTACACATTTTTAAATGTGACTATATCCACGCTTTAGTACGGCCTCTCGTGATTATTGCTTAAATATCTCCAATACTTTATCAGAGCTGTTTCTGTGGCAGAGACATCATAAGCCCCACTGACCAGTGGCTTCCACCATGCCTTCCAGGATGACCACGATCTCAAAGTCGTCCTTCTCCAGATGGGCCTGGGACATATCCCAGAAGGGAGAGTGGGAATCGATCTCATGGGAGATGACCAGCGGGGAGACCAGGAAGAGCCTGTCATCTCCCGTCTCGAACCCCACGCTGATATCCGTCTGGTCCAGGGGGATAAACTCTCCTGCAGATAGGGAGAGGATACAAACAGCAAAAGGTCAAATGTTTGAATCTCTGAAGTGTCAGAAATCCAGCTTGAGATGAGAACACACATATCTTCGTAACCCATATCAATGTGGAGCTGTGGTGACAACAATATTAGCCTTAGAATGTTTGTTTATTATGCTTAGTTACAGAACTTAGACTTATCTGGTAAATAGGTCCTAGGCCACACCCCAAGGCTACACCCTAAGCCACGCCTTAAGCCACACCCCAGACCACACCCTATGCCACACCCAAATCACGTCCCAGACAAACCCCATGCCACACCCTAAGCCACGCCTTAAGCCACACCCACACCAAACCCAACTCATGCCCCCGACAAATCCCATGCTACACCCCAGAGCACACCCCAAGCCACACCCCAGACCACGCCCATTCCACACCCAAATCATGTCCTAGACAAACCCCAGGCCACACCCCAGGCCACACCCTAAATCACACATTTGGCCACAACCAGACCACATCCTATACCACAGTGGTTCTCAACTGGGGGTATGCGTACCCTTGGGGGTACCTCGAGACGTACCAGGGGGTACCTCGGGCATCACATCCAAAATGGTGGATTTTCACGTGCTTCGTTTTTAGTAAAATATTTATCAGCTAATTCTGAAATCATTTAGATTCTAAATTCTATATGCAGATTTAGGATATTCCTATTGTTATGAGGAGAAAGCGGGGCAGCGCGATTGCCAGGCGTATCCTCTATCCACTGAAATCTGTATGCAGACACTTTGCAATCGCACAGCCACATCAAGGAAGGTGGAGGATTCCCAGCAACGCTCCCCATTGTGATTTTGTGCTGGAGCGATGTGGTGTTTTTTTTCTGGGTAACTATGTTTTATTTTTATTTCACACTGTCCAATCATGGATAACTGTTTAGTAAGAGGAACAAAGAGAAAGGTAGATTCTATAGAGAGATATAGATGCGAAGACGAGTCGAGAACACCTCAGTATGACAGACCAAGCAGCAAGTGTGGTCATGACCATTCACTAAGCCCGTCTACGAGCAAATCAGATAAGAACCAAACCAAACGACGATATTCATCAAAATGAATATTTCCAATATGTCTTCTATTATTGTGGTGATGAGCAGAATCAAATCCCTCTGTATTTAATATGTGAACAGAAACTCAGCAATAACTCTATGAAACCCTCTCTGTTAATGAGACATTTTGATGACACATCAAAAAAGAGGAAGAAATTTGACGCCTCAGCAGACATTCGCTGTCAATTATCAGCTTTGACACCTAATTTCAGCATAATCGCTGAAAATCTGTCACAGCAGGTCTCTCATTAGATTCACTGAGTAAGTCTATTTTTTATTTTTTTAATTTGGAGTCTTACTAATACTTACATTTTTTTTAGTTTACAAATTTTAAGAGTAGTGATTTTTTTATTCCACTATAATACAGCACATACATACATGCAAAAAAAAACGAAAAACACCCCTTTCTTGGTGTTCTATGCCTACGAAAATCTTAGGATGTACCTGAGGACATGGCCAGCCCTCCTGGGAGTACCTCGGCTGAAAAGGTTGAGAACCACTGCTCTACCAAACACTAAACCACACCCCAGACCACACCTTAAGTCACACCTTAGGTCACCTCCAGACAGCATCCAGACTGCATCCTATATCACACCCCAGGCCACACCCCCAACCACACCCTAGGCCACGCCCCCTGATTACTCCCTATGTCACACCCTAGGTCACCCCCAGACCACACCCTAGTCCAAACCCAGGCCACACCTTAAGTCACACCCTAGGTCACCCCACAAGCAACAGCCAGACTACACCCTAATTTACACCCTAGGCCACGCCCATATCTTGCCCTAGACCACACCCATATCACACCCCAGATAAATCCCATGCCACGCCCCAGAACACCCCCCCAGGCCACACCCTAAGCCACACCTCATGCCACAACTGAGGCCACACCCCCGTCCACGCCCTTACCCTCCTGCGTCTGCTTGGATTTGATGAGCTTGGCGCGGATGTTGGCGCCCACGATGTGCGAGCTGCGCAGGTCCCCCACGCGGAACATCAGGCACAGCTTGTCGTCCCGCAGGGAGATGACGGCGTTCTTGGAGAAGACCAGGGTCTCGGCGCGCTTGTTGGGCTGAGAGATCTTCACGAACATGCAGCCCACCTTGGAGAGTGGGCAGAGCACACCAGCATATCGCGGAAAGACACAGAGCAAGCGATAGGCTTAGTGACAGATGGACACAGGTGAGACCCCTAAAGCTCACCCCAAGCCAGACTGATCCCCCTTTCCACCAATCTTGTTGATTGAGGTTCCCCTTGAATCAATGACCCTCAGAGATTGTGTCCCACTTGCCTTGGAAAGAAGCGCCTCCACATTTCTATCTTGTTTGCTTTACAACGCCCACAAGCAGAATCCCATAGGAAAGGTAGATTCCATACCTTCTGTCCAAGGCGCCACAGTAATAGAAACAGTTCTGCAGGTCCTCCGTGGTTTGGCCAAGGCCTCCCATGGTTCTGTGCAACGGGTTGCCATGCTAATCAATTTTCCAAAACTCTCTTATTCCCAATCCTGGCCCAATCCAACTCTCCCTCAGACAATCAAACTCTTAATTGATTTTATAATAGGATTCATTTGAACTCCTTGCCTGGTGTCAGATCTTAAACTGTTGGTGGTTCCCCATTTATCTGTTGCATTGCATAAGTAAAATGGAGTAAAGCAAAAGCCCAGTCAAGCAACTTGTTAGTCCAATTAAGGGTTCATTTGCGTAATTAAGCTGAATGGGAATGAAACCTGCCTTGCTGCACTGGGGCCCAGGCCTGGGGTGCTACCTGCATAGAGTTTGTATCTTCTCCCTGTGTTCATGTGGGTTTCCTCTGGGTGCTCGTTTGTCCTACCACAGTCCAAAGACATTCTGGTAGTTGAACTGGCTTCTGGGAAAATTGGCCCTGGTGTGACGGTGTCTGTGTTTGTGTGTGTGCGCCCTGAGATGAACTGGCATCCTGTCCAGGGTGTACCCTGCCTTCTGCCTGTTGCTTACTGGGATAGGCTCTGGCTGTCCCATGACCCTGGATTGGATGAAGCAGTTAGACAACAGATGGATGGATTTATCCTTAGAGAGATAAATCATGTTCCAGTTTCTTGTTTCTACCAAAGTGACATGTTTTTTCTCTTGCAGTAAGTTGTGTCCTGGTGTGCAGCTAGAATGAACGTGCAACAAGGATAGATGGATGGGTGGCGGGATGGATGGGTGAATGGGTTAGTGGGGGAATGGGTTGGAAGGATGGACGGATGTGGATGAATTGATGGTTGGGTGGATGGATGAGTGGAAAGGAGGATGGATGAGTGGATGAGTGGATGGAATAAATCCAAGCAGGTGTGTTGGCCTCTGGGACCAGGAATGGACAACC